TAAGATAAAGGAAACTTTTATTTTAAGAGACTAGAGTCTTACTGGAATCCAGATAAAAATAAAATAATCTTTTGAAAGATTGGGAATATTTGGGTGGGAGGAGAGAAAAGCCTTTAAATTGGATCCTGAACGAGCCTGTTTTATGCTAGATAAATCCTGGTGGGTGAGGAGTCAGGCAAATAGACTAGCTTCACTGTTTTGGAGGGAGATTAGTGTAGAATTAACATAGATATGATTTATTTCAATAACGCAATTGAACATGATGATTCTTGTCTTTGCTGGTGGCAGCTGGTGTTGTTTCAGCATAAACAATAGTTACACTGAGGTGGAACAAAGGAGGCTGAGAGAGGAGAGAGCTCCGTTCTTGTAAGGTGCTTGTTACACGCATTACCCAACAGGCGTGTTACTGTGAAGTGGAACTGCTAAGCAGATTTATGGCTCCATATGAGATTTGCAGGGTATTTCACTCAGAGGGGAATGGTAATTACCCACCAGTTTGATAAAAATGAATATTTCATTTCAGAAATAATTAATTACATGAGCAATACAACACAGTACAGGCAGTCAGGAGGTCTCTTCAGTTTTGCTGTGATGTCCCTGCACAATGTAAAGAAGTTAACCTCTCTGAGCTCTTCTTCGAAATAAAAACATTTGCTTGCTCATATTTAATTCACTTACATTTATAAAAGCTCTCAAAAACCTGAGAGAGACATTGCAGTGTAAATGGAATCTTTCTTTAAAGGTCCTGAACTTTTTAATCACGGCAGGCAAGTTCCTGAGCATACGGAATTTGTTTCCTTAGAAGAAAATATTCAAACAAATCCAGTTGTTAGAAGCTCAGAAATAAATAGGATAAATCTGTATTTAGCTGCTTCTTGTCACAGAAATCTTGATCATGATGTTACCTATTTTCCTGATTTATACCAAATCACCTAGAAAATTCCAGTCTTGGGTAGGATGTGGCTTACTGTGTTTTTATGTGAGCTGCTTTCTTCTGGGCATGTTTGTGATTAGATGATTTCTGCAATTTGGGGAACTACCATACAGGTCCTGTCATCAGGGTTCATATTTCTGGGTTGCCAATCACTGCCATTCTTTTGGGGTAGGTCACTGAGGGCTCTGATTGATCATTTGTCTTGAAATAGACAAGGATTTTGCACTTTCCCTGGACACTGCTAAAATTCCACAATATACAACTGAGCTTAGCAAAAACCTCTTCTTTTAAAAAGACTTCATAATAAGGTAGCTTTTCGGGAGTTGGTTGGCAGAAGCTTCCGTTGTTCGTGTGAAAAGATTGATACACAGCTGGTGGCAGTAATTAGTTACCGTCCCCATGTCTGTCAGTGCTCAGACTTAGTTTCTCAGACAGCACTGAGAATTGTGGAAAGAAAATGCCCAAAATTTGAAGGTGCCTGGATGTGTAAAAGCACACAGGATTTTTTTTTTTTAAGTGTGTTTTTTTGTTTTGTTTTACAAAAAGGTGGCTTTTAAACTGAAGCACACAACAGCTTTGTCATGCAATAAACAGGTAGTAGAGTAAATGTTTTGAAATCGTAGTTGCCTTGGCTATTAGCTTTACTTAAAATGGATCAAGTAACAGTTGAAAAATCTTGGCATAATTATTGTATTAACTTTACATTTATCTTGACTTAGCTAAAGAAAACATATTGATTCTAAAAATAATAGATCTTACTTCTGATTTTATACTCTAGTGCATGTGGTGTATGGATTCCTAGTAATACAATGGCTTTTGCAAGAGCAAAACAGCAGAAAAAGTGTAATTTACCTTTGGGTCCCTAAATGACGGGTGTGCACTTAACATTTGGTTCATGTGTTTGGGTGATGGTTTTTTGTTTGTTTGTTTTGGGGTTTGTTGTTTGTTTGTTTGTTTGTTTTTTCAGAAAAGGGACAAACATGAGACTACAGGAAATAACCAGTCCTGCAGTTGGTTCTCAGCTGTACTTGCTCAGGTTTTTTTGATCATGGTTCAAAGCATTGAGCTGTAGAAAGCATTGTCTCTTTCTTCTCTTGCGTTCAGTCAAATGGTTATTTTCCAATCACAGTGTGAAGTCGTGTAGTCATGCCTGACCTGGCATAGGAAGCTCATTCTGGAGGCATAGATGCAGCATAGAAATGATTCCCTAAAAACCATGGTTGATTGAAATCACTGAGTAATGGGAGGGTGAGCATGCTGTTAGAGTTGAGTGTAAATGTTTGATAAGCTGCTATAAAATGTGATGAAGTTTCTTATTTTTAGACAAGTGCTGGAACTGACTAGTACTTCTGGGTAGAAGTAGCTGGTGGTGGTATAAACAATGAATTTTAAAAGGATCTCACTCAACAAGATAGATCTTAATGTAACAGCTTTTGAATTCACAAGGTTTTGTGTTACGAGTGTTGTGCAAAGAGTGTTCTGAGTTACAGGTTTTATTGTCCACGTCTTCAGTGACTGGTTGTCGAGAGTCAAAGTACACTTCTCCCTTTTCAGGTTCATTCACTGCTTAGCTTTGCTGTATTCTGATGCAGAACTTCAGTAAATTTTGCATAAGAAAACACCTTTTTATAATTTGTAAGGGAAATAAAGGGAATTAAACTGAGGACCTGAGCATGAAGCTTGCTTATGAAGTCTGAGCAACTGAGAGTAAAAAAATAAATTATGTCCATGCTGCATTTATTTTCCTTAGTTTGGATTAATCAAAGAGTGTAGAAGTCCAGCTTAAAGTTTACATGCATAGCAGTGGTAATTTAATGAAATGTAACTTCAGCTGCTATACTGGGTAGACTTTAGCATCTAGGTCAGAGAAAGCTGGAGAAACTAATTTATAGTTTAGCTTCTGTGTGACAGTGGTGCATTTTGGTGCCCTTTTAAACTTCTCAACAAGTTTCTTTTTCGGTTGATCTTCCACTTACTACTTTAGTCATAAAGGGTAAAGAACTATTTAAGAATCATTGAAGCAGGACAAAGGTACTAAAAGCTTCAACACAAAATAGGCACAGCTTTTAATTTTGGTTTGATTAATACTTTGTATTAAATGCTTTTTGAAGGATAGTAATTTTATTATGAAAAGAGAAATGTGGTCTTTGGTGATGGAAAAGTACAGTCTTTGTGGAGTCGGTGATCTGGCAGGGAGAGTGGAGATGAGCAAGGGGCTGGAGCTCCTCTGGGAGCCACCTACTTCCCCAGTTGCTCAGGTAAGGTGAGAACACTTTGTAGGCACAACCAAGAGCTGGTATCTTGTGCAACCTGAGACGTTGCTCAATTCAGCAAAGTCCCTCAACAACATGGAAGACTAGCAAAAATAGAGAAACTTGACAGATATGAACAGAACAATGGCAGCCTGCTCTGCTTTACTATTCTAAACGAGAAGCAATCAGCATTGCAAGGGAGAGTCATTAATGCTATAGCACTTACTGGTTTATTGGTCCAAATACCAAATCAATTTGATTCTTTGTAAACAGCAATTACTTGGCAAATGTTTGTCTTTTGGTTTCACAAGACAGCTTGAACTGAAATAAATTGTCACTACTGAAAAAAGAGAGGGGCTGTTTCTCATTCCCCATTTCTCCTCCCTGCTCCTACTGCTTATCTTTGGTGCTCGTCTTTTGAGAAGTTAAGGCAGAAATGAAATAGCTTTTTTTCAGTTGTACTAACAAACGTTGTTACAAACACAATAATAAGAGTTACTTATTGAAAAATCTGAACTTTACAGTGTGTTTCAAACAGCTATTACATTTGGGACGGTATTAATGTTATACTTCATAATACCTAAGCTAATGTGGTACTTGTAAGCATCTAATATGCTCTAAGTTAAGGGAATTTCTTCATCTTCCCTGTTACAAAACCACAGCTGCAGATTCTTTTCTGAAGGGTAAAAAGCTGTTGCCTACTTAGAGGACTTTCTACATGTCTACACACACTTCCATTGAGGTGCAGCATTGTTAGCAGAGATGCTTGGTAACTTAGCACAAGCTTTTTTTAACAGCACTTGTGGGTTTGGAGGGAGGTGGCAGTACAGCAGGGTGGCATTAAGAGTAGCTGGGGACAAGACAGACAGGATGAGCCTGTCAGTGAAGTCTGGGACGCGCTGGTAAGGATTGCCACTTCTTGTTGACCAACCCCTTCTCCCCATGTTTGCCACAAGCAATTGGAAACTGAAGTTAACTATAGATGCTAATTTCAAATGAAAAAGTGTTTGACCAGGGTGTACCCACCTTAGTTTCGTGGCTTGTCCTAGACTTCACTGAAGAATTTCTGAGGTGGTGGGCCAACACCTACTCTGGACAGCTGTGTTGGTGAAAGATGTTGCTGCATGTCCAGGACGACTGGAGGAAAAATTTTTAGGATTACTTCCTGAATTACCTGGCGGGAAAATCAGCAAGGTTAATGGGTCACATTGTTTATAGTGTAGTTGCAGTTATATAGGCATCACTTATATGTACCTATATACATTTGTTGCTTACAAAGGAAAGCTGGGACAGGAATGGCCATTGCTGCCTTCAAGGCTTTAGCAGGCTCAGCTTTCTTGCAGTTACTATCCATAACTGTTTCTCATAGAGTCTGTGCTAGCAATTAAGCTGGCATAAGGGTTTACTTTGAACAGAAACATTAAAATTAATGCATTATGTCATACTTCTTCAAGTTTGGTATGGTAAGAAATCTTTGACTAGCAGTAAATGGTTTTCTGCTTAAACTAAACAAAATGTGATGCCCATCTTATTTACAATGTCATTGACACCTTCCATAACTGATTAAATATAGCTCACTGAAAAACAAATGCATCAGTATCATGTTGGTGCTGAAAGAGGTTTAAAAAATGCATAATCTTTAACTTTGATAAATTTGTGGAGAATTCAGATATTTAATGTCTTCAGTGTTGCAGGGGTTGGCAGAAAGTTTTTATCTTTCAGGACAGTTACATCCCTGTTGCTGTCTCAGATAGCGATAGAGGGATTAAGGATTTCTTTGTATTTATGCTCTGTTTAATGTCTCCTTGTCTTAGACTTTTTTCTTTCTTTCAGGTGGCTTGTTATTGCAGTTGGTCTAGTTCGAGCATACCTGGCTAAAGGTAGTTACCATAGCCTTTACTATTCAATAGAAAAGCCCCTGAAATTCTTCCAGACTGGAGCTTTGCTTGAGGTAGGTGTAGTCGTCTTCCCTAGAGTTACTAATATTTGCATGAGTGTTTTCTTTAGGAGAAATAAGGCAGTCTTTTAACAGTGCTGTCTGGGTACCTCTTTTTTCATTAGCATTTATAGAGTGATTTGAAGGTAAACATCAGAAATATGCCTCACACAAATGGTGAATTTTCCCTCTTAGCAAGCGGTGAGGGAGCTTACTGTCTGTTATTTAGCTTGGGGAGCAGAGCTAAATATTAAACTTAATCTTTGAAATACAAATATTGAATCTTAAGGTCTTGTGATAGAACTAAACGTGTTTCTGAATTGCTTCATTTGAAATGTTAGTGATTTGAATTTTTCTTTTTGTTCTAGATTCTGCACTGTGCATTTGGTAAGCTTGCAAATTTTCAGTTTTATTATTTTTCTATAAGACTGCAGTTTTAGCAATATATCAGCATTAAAAATGTTATGGACTATGAATTGCCAGATTTAATTCTTGCATAACTTACTAATTTTTGCTTGAAGTATATTCCAGTTTTTTACTAAACAATTTGACAACTTTAATTGCAAAAAGGAAAATAGTGTAACAGGTTTTCAGTTACTTCACATTCTGTTTTTACCCAGATCCTTCCAATGCCACAAATCTTGGAGCGGTTTATAAATGTTTTATAGTAGATCATTACTTTTCTTCTCTACATCCTGCAATCTTCTGTACCAAACTGTCTTCCCTCAAAAAAAAAAATTCTAGCTGGAAGTAATTTAAATTCCAATAAAAAGAAAATTTCAAGCACTAGAACTTTGCCCACATCCATAGAACATAGATATGCCTTGTAAAATTAGGAAGGGGTAACCACAGATTTGGCTGTGCTTTAATGGAACTGTTTGGGAGAGTAAGAATTACTGAAGGCTTGACTCACAGTTCTTGTTAGCCTGCACTGTGAGGCTCATTGGTGAGCTTGGTAACAGGAACTCAATTGTGTATAAGTGGCCTGGGGTCAGAAACAGTGTGGTGGTTCAGTCAGCTTGAAGAGCTCCATGTTTGAGTGACAAGATTGCATCTTGTCTGGTTTCTTAGTCTCAGGAGTAGTGAACAGTTTGGCCTCAGCATTTGGATGTTTTGTTCATAGAACAGATGATGTGTCGCAATCTCTGCAAGATCAAAGCCAGTGTGCTGTAAAAGGGAGCAGTGCCTCTCTGCATACCTTTGCTTAACTCTGATTTTTCTAAGCAATCCACTCCTCACAAAGAGACAGTCTTATGCTCTGGCAGGTGGTCTTGTGATTTTAAGTCTAAGGGTTTGAGCTCCTATCTGAATGTTTGCTGGCTACTATTTAAAGAGTAAGATGGCATTAAGGTTCCTAAAGCTGCAGCTACGAACCTGCTATTGTTCATGTATCGCACAACCTACAAACTTGAAAGTATATCATTGTGATACAAGTAGGTTCATATTGAATTCCTGTGCAAAAGATGATTTATTTTTTTTTAATAACCAAATGTGGTAGTTGGAAAACTTAAAATCATATACATGAGTTTGTCAGCAGAGGGCAGTCTAATTCTGTATTTGATCAAGTAGTTCTGACCTTCCTCAATAATTGTTATTCTGAAAATGTTATCTTATAAAGGAGGGTTGGTAGACTGTGCACAGATCATTCCAAGAAATGAATTATCAAATACTCAAATTAATGTAAAGGCTTCTCAGGGTAAACTATATGTATCATATAGTTTCCTGTGCTGCCAAGGTAGTCCTTCCAATACTGTTGTATTTTACTAAATCTCAGTTACTGTTTTTACTAGAATAAACCATACTTACCTTTAAAACATTTGTCAAAAATTAATAATAAAATGTGAATTTTTTTAAGTCTTATTTAACAAGTGGCAAGAAAGATGGTTAAATGTCAGAACACTGGGCAAAAAAACTTGCGAATAGAATGCTGGTTTACCATCCTAAATCTGTGCTGTACTGTTTCCTTAAGCTAAACTTGTGTGCAGATGCCATTTATTGCTTACTAGTAATAAATTTAAAAAAGAGTGTAAAAAAAAAAAAAAAATTAATTGGATTATCTTTTCCTCACACTTTAGAATAGATGTTCACACAAATCAGTGAATAGCAGGAGAGTCCTGTGTTTCACCTTCCAGGGTGGTGCAGAACAACAAACAGGATGACTGTACCAGCCTGTCTGTGTACAAAGCTAATAATCCTGGCTCAGTTGATTTGAGATGTGGATCCATTTAGCTTGTGTTATCCTCAGTCACACAGTTTAATATTAGTGGAATGTTGCAACATTTTATACCATTATAACTTTATCTTTTTGGTTTCCTTAACAAAGTTTTTTACAAAAAAACCCACTTATTATTATAACTGCCCATGGATTTTTTTTTTTTCCTGCATTTGTCACCTAAATAAACTGAGGGTTTTTTGCACAACTGGATACACTGCTGCTGTCTGCTGTAGTCCTACTGACTTGTAGAAGTTTCTATGCAAGGAGGAACAGGAAATTTGCAGATTCCTTTGCTCCTGCTAAACTAATTGCTGTAACTAGAGCTGTAATTCTCTGTCAATAGAGGAGTTTCTGTGGCAGATAGCTGTGTGTGTCAGCATAACTTTTCTCTCCACATCTTTTCAGTAGAATCTGAAACATTAGCATCTGTGAGGGAAGGTCTTTGAAATACGAAGATTGATAGGGGAATGTCTCTATCAAGCATGGCTGAGAACAGAACTTTGGCACGTGGCACAGACTTACATAATGAGGGAGAGCTCTACATGAAAAGAGGAGATAACGTGTAGCCCAGAGACCAAGAGGAGAGTCTGAAGGACAGGCAAATGGCAAGTGAACATGTAATTCCTTGACTTGCATAGCACACAGAATCAAAGTGTGTAAATGGCTCTGATAGCATGGAAGAGCTTCTGCCTGGAGGAACTTCTTATGGAAGGAGGTGATAGGAGCCACCAAAATGAAGAAGCAATAGTAGTACAGAGAGTTTGTGAAGGGAATGGAGAAGAAAAGCAAGAAGGCTTTGGTGAGTACAGGCCCAGCCTATGGAATCATTATGGTACCAGCCTTCCTACCATGGCAGTGCTTACCAGTAACCCTCTGGTAAGCCCACACAGCACTGTTTGACTTTGCTTTAGCCTGCTCAGTTAGGAGGGATGGGAGGCCTCCACCTGTAAGCTATGCATACAGCTTGTTCTCAGTTGGGAACTCCCTGGGAGTTGCACTTGGTGGGAGTTGGAGGCTTTCTTGCTGGAGATGGGAGGCTTAGACTAGGATCTGGAAGAGGTCTGGGCATGGCTTACTTGCTGCTTGGTTCTGTACCTGAGCCCTCTGTCAAGCCCTGCTCTAGCACATGCAGTGTTGGATAAGTGGTGAAAGATGTTTTTAAAAACACCAAGTTTAAAATTGTCTGTTAGGTACCTTTTCAGTGCAATGAGTAAATAATTAGAGGCAAGTAAAGTTTACATAAAAAGTAGCTGGTGAGTTGCTTATTTTGATCTCCTGTTTTTGGCATAAATAGGCATTGTCTTGGCTGTAATGAAAAACCTTGTTTGTCTTACTTGTGAGGTAATCTCGGAAGGTTCCTACAGTCTTTTTGGCTTATTTCTAGGTTCCTTTGCAAGAACATTAGTTTGTCTTGCTTAGGAAGGGATGATCTAAATTGTGTAAAAGAGAAGTTCTGTTATATTGTAGGAGTAAGCCTTTAATGAGTACAGATTGGGGAATTTTATAGCACCCTGTTTTGCGTTGTCTGAGTAACACATTCTGCCCTGAGGTTTTACAACAGAAATTAGATTATGAGCAATAAGTGATAAAACTGAAGAGAATGGTGTTTGTAGGATTTTTCCCTCTTTCTGCTCTGAAAGAAGACTAATGTAATGACTGTGTGACTGAAAATAATTCTAATGAAACTTGCTTTTGGCTTTTCTTATTCTTTCTTCCTCTTCCACTTTCCAATTTGGTCTTTCCATCTTTCTGAGGCTGTTGTGTTGCTTGTTGTGATTTGCATTAGTTTTAGAAGCCCTTTTTCCTATGTATTAGGAGCTGCAACTGCCTCTGCCATTTGTCTTCATCATTCCATTGGAAGAAAATAAAATTTTGTGCTGTGAAGCTTAGAAATTTTGTGAAGTCTAAAACTATTCCTGCTCTGTCAGACCTGGGTATGGAGGATCCTTTCACTGGCATTTAAATCAGCACCTCCGAACTTGCTTAGAAGAATCAGTGAAATCTGCTTCCTTGAGAAAATCTTAAAAAATATTGCTGTACCTCCCAATGCATCAGCTATTCCTGGGGTTTTGTTGTTTTGGGTTTTTTTTAAGTTGTATTCTCAGGAAGGAATTACAAACTTTGTATCTGTCAGAATATGGACTAGATCAGTGTTTCTTCAGAGTAGCTGTACTTTTTTCTTAATGTTTTGGGGGTACACTGTGCAAAACATCTTTATTGTTTTATCTTTTAAAATCACAGTAATGAAGAGTATCTTGAATATTTTAATCAAACAGGGTTTATTTGAAAGACTGTATCCTAAAAGCTGTTTGATTGAAGTTATCTTATTCACATATTTTGTGTATTAAAGAACATGCTATGACTGCAACAAGACAAATTGCTTTTATTTGCATTTTGATGCACAAAATGTTATCAGGGGATTGTGTTGCATTAGGCTGTATAAACACACCACAGGACAGACTTCATATTCTCAAATTAAAAATACTAAATGCTTTCCTTCCAAAAATTTAAAAGAACTGGATTTTGGTTTAGTTGTATTTTATTTCCACACCCACCTCCCACCCTGATAGTCAGGAATATTTACTAATTGCAAAATATCTTCCAGGCATTGTTCCCTCTTCTGTTGTTCTGACTGCTTTCCAAGTGATGTCAAGGGTTTTCCTGACGTGGGCAGTAACACATAGTGTAAAAGAGGTAAGTTAAGCTACAAAATAGATAGAAAAACTAATGACCCATGGTGAAAAACAAGTGTTGATCACTGTCTTTTTTTCCTTAAAAAGACTTCTGTTTGTATCCCACTGTGAAATTGTTTGTGAAGTTCTGTGGACCAAAAGAAATAAAAATAAATCTGACATAATCTTTTCTTGACAAATAGGCTGAGGTCTGTTTCCCTCACTGTGAGACATGTAGCTCCTGAATAGATTTTGCAGTCCTTGCTGAAAGTCGGAGAGGTTCCAGTGTGTAATATGGAACCCAGAATTTGGGACAGCATTCTGGTATTGATCTCTCTGGTGCCATAACTAATAGCAAGATCTCCTCGCTGTCCCCTCTTTCATACACAATTTGCTTTCTGTATCATGCTCCCCCTCAGCTGTTCGTGTACAGCAGTGCCTGGATGTTCTCAGTTATCACTTTGCAGGATAATCTTCCCTCTTTCCTTCATTCATTTTTCTTGTGTTCAAGTGTAGGTTGGTTTTGGGGCCTGCATGTTTTTTTCTCATTGCTTACCACACCAAATATTGCTGTACTTTATACAGATCTCTCTAGAATCTTTTGGAAGCATCTTATTTGAACATTATTTCTGATGGCTATTTTACAATCTAAACATGCTTTAAGTGATACAGATCATGCTGACTGACTCTCTCGTGTCATCTGAATACCTTGTTGTAGCCCACATCTGTGCTGTTACTTTAGCCAACCAATCTTACTGATTTTCTTCTCATTAAAGAAAGAAATTAGTCTTGATGCTAGTGTCAGCATGGCTGCCTGAAATAAGTGATGGTCACCTAGTGTCATTATATGCATAGGATCTTTTGTGACTTGACATGGAGAATATATTAAGGAACTTGTCTCATTACCCAGTCTTCAGGGAAGCTGTTTTCTCTTCCTTACTCCAAACCATCCACATGCAGAGTCACATAAGTCACTGTAGTTCCTAATAATTAACAGCCCTTTTGGATATTATTATGCTTGTTCATGTGGAGCCTTAGTTTCATGCTATTTGAAGTGGAAGAAGTTATTTTTCTCAATAAACTCAAACAATCTTGTAAAAACTTATCTTCTGTATGGATTTCACTTTTGGTGCAAATAAATGTATTCCAGTTTCTTAATTCACTGGAGATAAATACTGAATTTGGAACAAAAAATAAGCCATAATCCCAAGACATTAGATTTTAGATACACGTATAAAATATTTTTAAAGAAATCTGCCTGTAGTTTTGCTTGTTACCTGTACAATGTTGGGGTGCCTGGTGCTTCATAAAGAACAGTGATAATCTGTTTTTATAAATTGCCTCCTGGTTTTGAAGTAACCCAAATGTCAAAGGTTGGTTTGCATGGATTAGAATTATTCTTTGTGTTGTCTGTTCAACATCAAAGGGAAGTCTGTAAAATTATTGTGGGTTATTTTTTTTGAAACTTATGCCCACATTCTCACCAGAGAAAGCCAACAAAATGGGAGAAAATGTGAGAAACAAGTTCAGCCTAACATTCAATTTTTAACAAGGGTTCTCTCAACGATAGCACACACAGTTTTTTCCTCACATTTGTGTGGGCTTTTGGTTAAAGTCTTGAGAGAGACTGTATTATGTGGGGGGGTTTTTTTATGTCTTAGAAAGTGGGCATAAGAAAGGTAAGGATGAGGAATCCTGTGATGAGTTTTTCACCTGTGACTCAGAGCAAATAAATCAAATGAAGAGGCTGTATTCTGACCCCTCCCCTTCCCCCCAACCAGAGAGCGTGCAGCCTCACCTGGGGAGATGTCCTGAAAGTGTCACGAGTGTTCTACTTTTTCTAAAGGGCTGTCTGCACAAGTGAGCTCCATGGTGAAGTCCAGGATTAAATTCTCACACAGCTTTATGGAACTTGTAAGCTATGCAGTTGCATGATGAGGTTCTTGTAAAATAAAATGCAGTTTTCCTCTTTAACTTTTTGAGTGAGACTTGTTCAGTATCTTGCTTTTCCAGATTGTTTTAATATATAATATAAAGGAAAAAACATTTGTATTGCATCCCTCCTTTCTGTCAGAATACACTTCTAGATATGTGATGTGATTTGAAGCATGCTTCTTGCGACTAACATGTTTGTGCTTTTTGTTGAATTTAGTGTTGATGTGTTGTTAAATTCAATATGAAAATATTTATAATAAATGTTAAAGCATGGCAAATGTTGAAACATTGCACAGATTGGGTAGCAATGAGATTCCCCTTACCTCCACCATTAGCTTAGTGGAGGAGGGCCTGGCATGTAATGTAATTGTTTTGTCATTACATGAGGAAGGTGTTGGTTTGGTGAATTTCACTGTTTCTCCTACAAAAGAGAGAACAGAATGAGCAGACTAGTGTGAAGGGCTAGAAGAAAGTAGGCATTGGAGAACAGAAGGTGCCCTTCAGTTCAAAGTTGTGTTTTTGAATTTGTGTGAACAGTGAGCTCATCTGGTGAGGTCATGGCAGGCCTTGGTAGAGTTCTGTTCTGATAGAGAATTCCATACCCAGTTCTGAGGGGTAATTAAAAAACGTGTCAGCAGTGACTTCACGCTTATCCAGTGGGGTGCAGTTACAGATAGGTTGCAGATAAGCATAGTATACAGAGGAACTTTCCTAGAACACACAGTCAAAAGGGGTGGTGTGAATATGATGTGTACAGCATATTGAGCTGGTAATGAAGACTCCAGTGTCTGCAGTTGTGAATTGACATCTTCAGTCAATAATAAAGCACAGGTAAAGAGGGAAGATCGTCTTAATTTATGGTATTTAGGACTGAGTTGTAGTAAAAGAAGTCCACTCTGGAAAGTTCATAACTCTAAATGGGTGAGTGCAGTTGAAAAGCCTGATTTATCACTGCTTTACATCTATGTAAAATTGGAGTAATACTGTATAACACAAATGTCTGCCAGGCCCTTTGTGCCTACTGTGAAGCTTCCTCTTTTTTTTCTTTTTAATTGATGTATGACAACCAGCGTTCTGGAGGGAGACGTGCTTTTTCATCATTACAGTTGCATAGTGCTACTGGTTTTACTCTTCTGCACTGGATTGCTTAATTATGTGTTTAGGTGAAATTTTGTGCAAATAATTTTTCAAACTGTTACTTTTAACATGGAGAAATCTGTAGAATTTACCTTTCCATGCATAAGGAGAACAGTAAAAACCTCTCAGGCTTTATTTTGTCAATTCCCAGTTCTCATCTCTGCATCTCAAAACGCTGTGGGTTCTCTTATATTTTAAAAAACACTGTCTGCTATTCATAGTATTGATGATAAGCTAAAATATATTCAAGACCATCCTTGATAAATTGGTTTGAAACACATGCAAAAAAGTTATGCTCATGGTATGATTGAGCCTTATTAAGGCAGTTGGACAAGTAAGTTGTAAATAAAGTGTAAAACGCGCTTGGACTTTATCTCACACCTCCTTCAAAGACTGGCATGAAAAAGTAGAGGAAGATAAATTGAGTTCTGAGGGTAGCATTTGGCTTAGTGGTTTATTAAGAGTCTACTGTTTATTGGCTGTATTATCCCCCTTATCCTCAGCTTGGAAAAGGAACGATACAAGTGCAGCATTAGCAGTGCCTAAATGAGTGAGACTCTTGAGAGACTGCTTTGTAAATCGGTTCCCAGGGGTTTGATAGTGTGTGTCTCTGACATCTTTAGTTGAAGTATTGAAACACTATCGGTCCTCAAAGAGATGTTCTAATAGTGACAGAATTCTGACAGATCTGTTAGCGTGTAAGAAACTTACTTTTTAATGATGAACTGTGGAATATGGTTAAAATATTATGATAAAATGCACAGTAGTCTTTCTGTTCCTTACTGCACGGAATGGGACTATTTGAAAACTGTATAGGTCACTTCTGTAGGAAAACTACCACCAGTTTCCAGGATTCTTTCTTCCTTAAATAGGGACACGAGCTATGAAGGCACAATCGGTGATTCTTTAAGTGACCTTAACAGCGTTCTGTGTGTGTTTTATTATGGTGTGAACTGTTTAATAACTTATAAATGCAGTTCTAATATTAAAGTAGATGGGAAAGACTAGACCTGTGAAGGTGGTGTTAGAGATGTCCTGTGACAGAACGGGATTGTAACTGCCAGATTTTCTACTTCTAAGTGTATCATTCAGTGTTAGCTTCATAGTTTCTTGTCCTTCCTCATGTCCTTGGGTGATACTTCAAGCTACAAATTTTTGGGAAAGTTACAAATAGTTCAAGGTGCAAACAGGGAAAGAAGTAAGGTTTTAAAGTACAGGTTGAAGTCTGTGATTCATATATTTAGATGAACTCACTAAGCTGCTACTCCTGATTTGACCAGAAGATGCAGCTCTGGAGTGCTTGTGAAGCATGTTGTTCCTTGGGAACAGCATCATCTGTGAAGTGCTCTTAACTTTTCCAGGCTGAGAACTAAGTCTTGCTTATATTAGGATCCTGTAGCACCATAAAAATAGATTTGGTCACTTCTCTGAAAATCTTCAAATAAGTTTTGGATTTTATTCTTTTATGATGATGTAAGGGAAATTAATATATAAGCAAATTATCAGAGTTTCATGTGGAAAAAGGACAAGGTACATTTGCTGCAAAATACAATAAAAATGACTTGAAATGGTATATGCAGCAGAATATAGATTAACAGCCGCTCTACATTCCAGGATATTCCTGGATTTCTGTATAAATCTTGCTGGGTTTTGTAGTCTGTAAAAGAAAACTTTTTATGGCTAATCCTCATGAGCATTTTTACAGGCAACTATATGATCAGTCCCCTCATAGTATAAGGTGTCTGATTGCCTGTGTATTTTCTTGTTCCTTTTTCATTTGTACATGTACTTTGCCCAAGATTAATAGTGTACCACCCACACCTACTGACTTCCTTTTCCCTTTTTTCAAGAGTTGGAGGAAAAAAGAAAATGCAGGCCCCTGTGGTTGAGCTCTTTTTGTTCCCACGGTCCACTGAATTTGGGCTCAAGGTACTCTTACAGCTGAGAATTCTGTTGAAGGGGAGGGAAGGAGGGGGAGGGCTACATAAAAATAGTATTTGCTCTCTCAAGAGTTTGTAGTGCGAGTATGTGACCCTGTGTACTTCATCAGTGTTATTCCATCTGAAACCTAAACTTCATAATTGTACTCCCAAATCTAATAAAACTAATAATTCGTTTTAAAATACAAGCTTTTGAAGATTAATGTTTAAAATACGACGAGAGGAAAAGCTGGTTCAGTGATGTTTGTCTGAAATAAAACCTCAAAGAGGTGTAAAGCAGTGAAACATAATGCCTTGAGTGTAGCATGAGACGAACTGTGCTAGATACAATAACCAGAAAAAGGAGCGAGGAACAGTGAAGCAGGTAGTTTCCAAGCTTACCTGAGGTAAGACAATCTGAGCTTCTTCCTCCTCTCTCCTCCCAGCCTGTGTCCTGGTGTTAACCGTTTGGCTGCTGCTCAAAATTAGAACCAGTTTCTCATCTGTAGGGAGAGGAAGACAGCACTTCTACTCAGAAGTAGCACAGACTAGAATCAGAGTATAAAGTCTAAACTAGATATCAAGTGTTAGACTAATGTGTTAGCATCCTTTCTGCTTGCAGTCAGCAAGCAGGCTTCCTAGAAACAAACATAGGACTGAAATAAAAGCTGGAACTGTATAGGAATGGGGAGAGTTATGAGTTGTTCTCAGCATTTCAGGGATTTCTTGTACTAATTTACCTTGCATAGAATGGGAGATCTTAAATTATCTAATCACCAAGCAGAACTGTTTTTAAGCAACTAGAAAAATACGGAGCATGATAAGAATTGTTTTTTACTGTTGTTACTAATGTTGCTTTTAAGCTTATTCTTGGAGTCTGTTCTCTAAAATGATGCAGTAAAGCAAGCCGTGGGAATTGATTTTTTTTTGAGGTTTTATTGGGTCTGGTGAGCAATTAGTTATGCTTGAATTTGTATGGAGCTTTTTTCTTTCTTACAGGTACAAACTGAAGATAGCGTCCTGTTGTTTGTGGTGGCCTGGACAATCACTGAGATAATCCGTTATTCTTTTTATACGTTTAGCTTGTTAAACCATCTCCCTTATCTCATCAAATGGGCCAGGTAGGTGGCATAATAGAAATCATAGCCTTAAAGCACTGATTTCACAAGGGTATTTATCTTGTAAAATAGTTGCAGTACAAAAAATCAGATTCTGCCTTGAGGTAATTGCCTTGTTTGTGAATGTGACTTCATAGCTTTTTTCCAGCAGATTTCTGGGTTAAAAAAAACCTACTACATTGTAAGCTGAAAGAGGAGTTTGTCAAAACTCAGTCCTTTTTACAAAGTGATTGTGTTTATCAGAAACTGGCATTTAACAGTAAGGAATAACAATAAGTCAACTGACATTTAATAGTAACCCTTGAATCCAAGGGTTGTATGTGAAACAATCTGTAAGCTCGTTGATTAATATCAACTGTGTTTGACCCTGTTTTAAGTAATATAATGACCTGTACCAAAGAGTTCAGAAATCAAAGTAACAAAGTGGGTGGGGGGATGGGGGAGAAGTTTTAAAGATAGTTTTCAGATTCTCAAAGGAAATCTTTAAAATTCAAACTGATTGCTGATTGATTACTTATCTTCCAGTAATGTTCACACCTTGCCATGCTCTAATCAAAGAAGAGCTAAGAGAAATAAATACTGACTTGAGAATTTAAAATGTGAATATCCCTAATAGCATGGAACAAATACTTTGTCAGTATTTGTTTGTAATAACTTTTAATCCTTTCTGTAAATGTTTTGTTCTAGGTACACTTTGTTTATAGTATTGTATCCAATGGGAGTCTCGGGCGAATTACTCACAATATATGCTGCATTACCCTTCGTCAGGCAGTCTGGCTTGTATTCCATTAGTTTACCTAACAAGTACAATTTTTCTTTTGACTACTATACATTCCTGATCCTGGTTATGATCTCTTACATTCCAAGTAAGTATGAGTTTGTTGGGTTTTGTTTTTACTTTTAATATGAAAAGTTATAACAGGAAGAGCTAATAATTGTGGGATTAATTTACATATAACTAAGTAATTTTGCAAAATTAATTTTGAAAATTATCTGAAGAAAAAAGAGTTAAAACTTCAGGGATTGCTTTCAACCAACACCTGCAAAACAGTAATATGTGTTTTTTCTCTTTCACTTGGAATATTAAATTAACTGTGGTACTTCTTGGCAAATGTTGACATCTTCATATTTTCCCCTCCCCCCACTTACAGACTTTCAGGAGAACAAAGCTCAGAATAACTTATTAAAATTTAGTTCTTTATTAGGAATAAGAACATTGTTTTTGTATTAGTGGGTAGGGAACCATTTCTGTTGAATTAACTTGAATTGACATAATCTTTAGTGGTGTTTCTATAGATGGAATGAAGCTTTGGCTTTTCTACTTTGAAACGGGGAATAGGAACGCAGAGGCCTCTAGCAAATTTAAATGTGCAAATCAAGTCTAACATGCAGAATAACATAATGATGATGCTGCTGTTGGCTATCTCTGCAGTTATCTTTATGAGAACATTGTTGTTTATGCAGAATGATAAACCATATTCAAAGATTTAAATTTCAGTAGTGTGACTGTCTCTATAACAAGCACTTACACTTTCAGTGAACCATCTTGTAATTCTGACATCAAGGTTCATAAGTTTTTCCAGCTGTTCTTGAAAAAACACTTCTCATGCATTTGCGTCTCTTTGTCCTCCTCTTCTAGAAATGGTGATGTTACTAATTCTAAGCAGCCAGAATAATATCTTTTGTTTCAGTCAAAATAACCATGAGTATTAATTAGTTCTTGTGTAGTAGCTAGATCACAGTTGACAGGCCACGTGGGAGAAAACCCACATTGAACCCAAGTAACGATTTTAGCCCACTTTCTCCATTAAAATTGCTGTGTCTTAAATAAGGTATTTTCTGTGATCTGTTATCATTTGCTGGATGCATAACATGAATGCAGTTTAAAAAAAAATATTACTTTTTAAAATTATTAGTGTGAATTGGTACATTAACTCTGAGAACCAACTGCTTGGACTCAAGCAGTCTTAGGTGCCTTTTCATATGAAGGTATTTCTGTGGTATTCCTGAGACAGAAGAAAAGCAATGTTCATTGCAGTCACTGAGTGCACTGTAGTTCAGTTGTTGATTCATAAAAGCTACCTATGCAGGAGTCACCTTCTGAACCCACAGGTGATCTTGGAAATTTTGGGAATGTTAATATGACAAGGAAAGCAAGCTTTGAAAGCTGTTGTTAAAAATTGAGCTTTTACTTCTCATAGTGACTTTCTTGATAGTTGTATCTTATCATTTACCTCACTTTAAATCTCAAGTTTAGTACTTGTCAGTTCAAAATTAACATTTTGCTAGAAAAGATGTTATTAAATTATTTGCATATAACAGATCCCCATTACTTAGACTTCTAATGGAGAAACCACGGGGCTCTGTATTCTGTTATGTCTCTGGACAGTTGTATTCACTCTTAACACTGGTGGAATGAATCAGGATGGGGAGGAAAACAATCGGGCAATGAAATACAGGTTGAAGAAAGGCCAAAGAAAAAAATGTGGAGTGGGAAAATAATTCAGTACACAAATAAATAGACTTTGGCCTGTGTTTATGACAAACGCTTTGCATGTGTAAGTGAGATAATTTAGGCTGAAGCTGGCCATGTGTAATTTTCATACGGTTCACAAAGGTTTAGTGTCTCATGGCAGTTTTAGCTTTTGCTGTTTATGTATGTGTTTTCCATCCCATAATTTGTTGTTCTGCAAGCATACTATGTAATGTACAGGAGAAAAAACTTTGCATGGAGGATAAAGAGAGATGAAAGAGGCACCAGTTTGTATAAAGTTCCTTCGATCCTGAAAAAGTGACACCACAATTACAAGAAATTAAAAATTCTGGAAATGTGCTTCTTTCGGAAGGACTTTTTCCTCCCTGCAGTTCATTTTCTTTCTATTGTTTGTATGCAGTTCAGGAAACTCTTGCGATCCTGCTTGTACATGCAGAGTTAAATAAGGCATTTTGCTTGCTTTAGGAAAAAATAAGTAGTACCTGAAGCCTAAGGACAATTTCATTTACTCTTTTTAAAGAATGAAAGGCAATAGATTACTCGAGTGGAGGTCAGATAAACGTGTTTTCTTAATAGTGAATTGGTGACCTTGAGCATGTGACTGTGCATCTTACATTGACATGTAAGTCTCACTTCATACTTTATTTACTTAAGTCTGTTTTCTCTTCAGTCTTTCCTCAGCTGTATTTTCATATGCTACATCAGAGGCGAAAGGTACTCTCCCACACTGAAGAACACAAGAAGTCAGAATAATCCCAGCTCTTTTTCAGAACTTTTCAAACATCAAAATGCTGCAGATTTTCAATACCCAGCACATTTATAAAGAATATACCAGGATAAAATAAGTCAGAGGTAAAAGACCAATAATTTAGCAAGAATAACCAATAAATCTGATTTTGCTGAAATTTCACAATGTAAAACATTGAAATAATGTTCAGCTTGCAGTGCTTCAGAAAACTTCTAAACTTTATATGGCTTGGCAGTTAGCCTTTTCCTTAAACGATGTGCTAAATGGTTTTCATTTATTACTAAATGCCTGAAGACTGCAGTATGAGTGATGAAGTTGTACCCACTAAATGCTTGAATTTGGATTATATTACTGATACCTCTCTTTTTTAAGTGCTTGACTGCATGCCAGAAACTGTATGTATTGCTGTGAAAGCAAACAATATGCTCTGGAATACTTTAGGATTTTGTCAGAGACTCCAGTGGACAATGTAATCCAGGCAAAGTGTTTGAATTTAGAAAGGTAGGTGTGTATTTAAAAGATGATGGGAACAAGAGCAGGAAACCAATTACGGGAAATGAGGGGAATGTGGTTCTTTAGGAATTTAAACAGTAGGGTGTCTGACCATAGTATGTTCTCTGAAGATCTTGTTTAAGCTGATTATTCAAATGCTAATGTTAATTCAGAGGCTGTAATGCTTATCTGAAACATTTAAAACTTTAAAGTACTGCATCTCTGGATACTTTTTTAAATATAAAAAAAAAAATACTAACTGTAATATTTCTAGTTATATCAGTAATGAATCTAAACAATATAAGGAGGCAGATCACCCAGAAACAGGTGCAGTTCTCCCTTTTTTACTTTAAATTATCATCTCTAATCGCTGTCCACTATCTCAGTGGTACTCGTCGTTCAGTGTTGAGGACTATTTGGTCTACTGTGGAATCATTTGAGGCCCTTGTTCCTCAACCTGACTTTTCTCAAGTGACTAATGCGTATCACTCTGGCACATCCAAGCAGGCAGTTCCAGGCACTCACCTTCTGAAATGTTGCAAAGTCATAAACTCTTTCTTTAAAAGCAGATTATCTCACGTGTTACATGCTACTTCTGCAGATTGGAAAAGCCTTCCCTCATCTTCTCTTTCGAAAGAGCAGAAGACTATAAAATTTTTTTCTAGGTGCTTTCTCTGGGTTCTCAGGCTAAACCTTCCCTTGGGAAGGTAAAACAGAAAATGAAAGAACTGAGAAAACCTTGTGGTGTGGTGGAATGCATTAATGCTGCGTAAGTTGTGCCCCAAGTTATGAACAAACTATTGATGGAGGGTGAGGGGAATGGAAAGGACAGTGCAAGCACGAAAATGAACAGATATCCAAGCAAAGGCAAAAGGAAATGTGTAGGTTATGATCTTCGCTCTGTTAGGAATTGATAATTGAATAGTCCTGTCTTCACCAGTGGCTCCAGTCAGAGCCACTAGACAACTCCACAATGGCTTCTCTGGCTTCCCTCTTGTAACATCATGATTTAGTGCATAAACGAGGTGTGGTCATTCCTGTGGTACCTGCAATACTAATCTGGCGCTGTGCTTGCCAGCACCTCTCCCTGGACATGGCCCATATCTGTGTCCCAGTTACTGTGCTTGACGCATCGCAGCTCTTGCTAAACATAGCCAGTAAGTACTAAGGGCAGAGGCTCCCTGTTCTAGCACTTGGGGAGAGCTGGATTTACAATTACTTTGGTTTATGTTTGTCAGAGCTGTATTTAAAAAAAAAACAAAACCAAACCAAACAACTTTGCATTCCTCAGTAATTTTCTTTGGCTCCATCAAAAAGTCTGACTGAATTTTCCTAGTGCTCAGTAACATGTACAACAGCTTTTCTGTTCAACACAAACAGGACTATTGTAAGCAGAGAGAGGGTAAGAGACAACAATGATATTTGCTTCTATTTTAAAACTTTTGAAGACAGTTATTTGCTGTAATCAAAAACTCTATGGCCACATACAACCTCAAAGTGGTTTTGCATTCAAAAATGCAACAATTTCAATTCATTTCTCCATTAGGTAATGTGTTGCTTTGTTGTAACAATCTGAGAAATGTTGCGTTATACTGAACTCATTGTTCAAAAGCATAAACTTCCACCTCGGAACAAAACATCTCCTTTTGCTTACACTTGCTATCAAAGGAGTTAGTGTCCATACTTCTGAAGAATGTCATCTAAAAGATCTGATTTCCTGATGTACTCAAGTTACTCGATATTGTCAATGTTCAGTTCCTGAACTTTCCTTGATTTGATTTCTGTGCCCAAATAAAAGATTTGGTTTCAAATTTGTTGCTCCATTTTGGAGAAAAAAAAATGGCTGTGTATTATTCTTATATGAAACAAACTCATAGCTCTGTTGATAAGAAAGATGTAGTACAGATCTGTGTTAGATAGCATTGGCACTACAGAAAAGCAGAGAGAGCTGCCAGTAGGGAGAAGGCTTGTACAACGAATGCCTTTACTGAATAAGCTTATTATGGAATATTTACTTCAACTGAAAATATTAATTTATCACACAAATGCAAATAATCTACAGCTTTCTGAAAGAAAACAGTTACTTTTCCTTTTAAAAGAAAACAAAATTGCTTTGATAGTAAGAAATCTTATCAGCAAAGTTGATTTAAAAATTATGTTCAGAAGCATGAACATGCAGTTAGTATGTAGAAGAATTTCAGCTAGCAGTGCTTTTTCAGGTTTAGCTTCCATGGAAATCACTAGAGAGTGATCTTGAGTAAGAACTGTAGTGCGATGCCCTAACACTGTTTGGGTTTTTCCTTAATACTGACTTTGGTCACACTTAGGGGTTTTTTCCTCCTCATAAAATAAGAACAAATTTCCCCTCATCTGTCACTGAAATTGTAATGTGGTTTATGTGAACTTTATAATAGAAGCTTTGATTAGTACTCTGTCACAAATCTAGAGGGTTGGTTTTTTTCGCCACAGACTATTTACTTGGCTTGCATGTTTTCCATCAGCATCACCACGCTTCTGCAGCAGACATGGTTTTCTGCTTTGGTAGTCTGTGTGTTGTGCGCGCTGGTTCAGTTGACAATACTTTATGTTTTACCTTGCTGGCTTTGTCCAAGTTTGGCATTACCCTCTAAAGACCAAGGTTCTTACCAGGGTATAGTTTACAACTGGAATTGTAGAAATGTTCATATTGTAAATTACAGTAAGATGCAGGTTACAGTGCAGGTAAATTGTAATTTTTCACAATGTGATGTTTCTATAAATTTTTAAAAATTATTTATCGGTAGAAAGGTTGGCATTTGTGTGGACCAATCTGCAGTGTCATCTGAAAACCTGTCTTTCAGCTTAAAATTTTCATGAGTATACATCAAATCATACATTTTGATGTATATTTATGTCAGTGAAATTTGGGTGAAAACTGTATACAGTCATTTTTGTATTTTTTTCTATGTTGTGAAGAATAAAATTGTAATTTTATAAGTCTGATTCACTAAGATTATTATAAGTTAAAGGTATTTTTTGTATATTTAGGAATCTGGTATTACCTGGAGCTCTGAAAGCATAGACTTTTTATGCATGTTTGGAAGATATTTCTACTTGATAATGCAGTGAAATGGTTTGTATGCTGAAATACTAGTCTGTGTTGTTGCCTCGTGAAATTGATTCTGTGCTCTCTGCCTGGATTTGGCCTACTGATCAGTGATACTAATTGCTATAATCCAAATAAAATAATTCTGAACAAAATATGTTGTATTGTTACTGTTTAAGGAACAAAAGCAGGTGCTTTATAAATGTGAATTAGGGCTGTATTTTTATTAATTTGTATATAATACATACCTTGCAATTTACAAGATTTTTTTGGCATACATAACTTTTGAGCTCAAAAGAATTAAGCAACTTGATACTGTTATGAATGTTCTGCTTTTCACTTTTGAAAGAGATATTCATAGCAACGTGTTAACTGACGATTTTAACATTCAAACTTAACTTCCCGAAGGATCGTTAATAGAATGTGAGCTCTTTGTTCTCCCGTTATCTGCACTCTACATGGTGATGGTTTTCTACAAAATAGTGGAATGCTTCACTAATGCAACAGAATACTTCAGAGTTCATTTACTAAATATAAAATGTCTGCTACCACAGCAACGTTCTTAGCATTTTTAATACTTCCTGAGAGAGATTTAAATACTGTGTCTAGATGCCATTAATGCTCCTAAGTAACAAGTTATAATCCTGTAATAGGAACTGAGTAGTAGTTGCAGAGTGAGTGCTATTATTCTAGGCATATGCTTGTCATAAGATTGCACAACTACAGTGATTTTTTTGTTTGATTGCAGACGGGATGAATTAATGTTGTCATGCCCAGCATCAGCACATGTCCTACGCATGATAGCTGTGACTTAGCACTACTGTGTAATTAAAAACTTCTCTTTGAAGTGTTATGCTGTGAAGAGTGGTGCTGAGCTCCATTTGTGCCTTAGAATAACTCTTACTGGTTATTTGTGTTTCCTCTTTGGATTTCGGAAATTGGAAACAATTTTAGTTACCTAGGGTAACATTAAAAAATCTGAAAAGCATAAGGATTCTGTGTTTGTAAGCGAATTAACTTTGCAGTAGTATTTAAAGCTCATCTTAAATAAAGCATTGGTAGTTCTTGACATAAGACTCAGGGAAGGATCTGTGCTAGTGTGTTGAGTATAAAATAAAAAGGTGTGGATATCTGTGTGACTCAGTTCCATTTGGTATGGACTGAGCATTTCTAGAGTTGGGATTGATTGATTCAAACCACCCAACTGCCTGGAACTTCCATTCAATATTAAGTGGCTTTTAAATTCTGCTTCCCATCTCCTAAACAAATACTCTTTTGTGCTTCAGAAGATTTCTAATATTGTAGAGAATTAGTAAAGCATCTGTGGTGGTTACTGAAGGTTACCTTGAAGCAGTAGGAATTAAAAATGTGGATTGAAAAATTAAAACTTTTTTAATACTGCTGGTCACTGATTTCCATAATAATACTTGCCTTTACAGATGTGAAAGATCCTAAAACCCTTTTTATGTCTTCATAAATTAGATGGGCATTAGTATTGTCAAATGCGTGTTTTGTCTTTGACGTGCTGACACTGGTAATGTGCTAATATTAGGGAAGGAGATATTGCCTGTCAATATTTATGTCTTAGTTTTTCTAGTGTTTTAAGTAGATGCATTTTATTTCAATCTTCCACTACAAAAGCATAACTCACAATATTTAGAAACGCTTCTGTGTCTACTTATGTATGGCCTATACAAACTCTGTGTCACAACAAACTGCCTCCCTATAGACTAAACCCATGTAGTTTGTACATAGAAATTTTTACATTACCTGGTACTACGGGAGGCTGTTGTTGGGAAATTCATTAGTGGAAGTTTTTGCAGAGGCTTATTCAGCTGAATTTTGACCACTGAATTGTGTTTTGTCCCGTTTTTTGACTCCTGCTTCAGACAGTCTGCACAATCTTCTGCAAACCATTTGTATCTGTCATTTAGGCACTGTTAAATATTATAGTCACTATATATAAGTATCACTTACAAGTGTACATTAAAAACTTTAATACTGGTATTTGCTAGTTTGAACATTTAAACTCCCAGAATCATATTTGCTCTGTAATCTACATTCAGCCTCTTGGGCACTACAGTAGGTTAGTCTCACTCTAATAACAATGAGTGATAATCTGACATGTGTATCTATATATATATATATGTATCTATC